ATTTCTGTTTGAATGTCCATTTTTGTAATAGGCTTTGATAAATTTAACACGTTGTTTGATTGTTAATGTTTCCATGGTTGAAATTGCCAAATACTTAAGTTGTAAAATCTGAAAGAAAAAGAAAAAAAATCATTAGATGCTTAAAATTAATTCACATTTAATATTTGTTTCTATTTTATCTAAAACGTCATTGTTTATATGTTCCATCCATGATATTCTCAGTATCCTTCTGTAGGACACCATTTCTGTTGCTTCAAGTCTCTTCTTTATCTGTGAGGAGATTCTCCAGCATTCAATGCCATATAGAAGGACTGATATTACGTAACAGTTCAGTACTCTATTCTTTGTTTATCAGCCTGGTCAATACCTTGATGGGTGACTATTTGAGAATACTTGTAGCAAAAGAAGAGAGAGAAACAAAAAATAAGTGGCTGGGGTCCACCGGCAAACCGGTTGTTGTTCTTTGCCATCAGTCGCCTTAAAGAAAAAGTCAATTGCGAGACTCCTTTTTCTCGGCCGTTACACCGGGCAGTCGTGAAACGGATACATAAAACAAACGCGTCTACTCTAATCGCCTCTTGGTCCGTCAGTCTCTTCGCACGTCCGACTCCAATTCCGTCAAAAATGACTCGTCTTTTGCTGTGCCGCTAGCGCCTTGCCTTCTTTGTTTACTAGTTTCACACTGCTGCTACCTTGTGTCGTCTGTTCTCATCACATCTTGTTTTTTCCAAGACCGGTGCTCACAAATCGCGTCCCTGACAACAACCATGCTTCCCTTTGGATTTGTCATACAAGCAAGACACGTTCGCACACGTTTTGAGCTCCGTGATAAATCAGCACAATACTAGGTGCTGTAAGCTTGGAGGTGCAGGCGGTGTAATGGATAATCACTTAGAATTGTTAATCAGAGAGCCGAGTTCTATTTTCTGTTGGGTTTGTTATATTCACTTATGTGCAAATACCATTGGCAAAGGTATGAATCCACCTCTTCTCCTCTCAGCTATGGATTAATTAGTAAAATTTGTATCACTAAACCATTGTTATCTCCCCCAAAAATTCTTACAATCTAAAATATTTTCTGACTTTAAATAACCTGCAACGGGTTGATAAGCCATAAAAAACGTATCAATCAATGAAATGCTCATTAGCTACATAGGCATATCTTTTAGATTTATTTACATTCTCTGGAATATAAATGTATAGAAACGACCGTGGCCACGAAGTGAAGGATCATTTTATATATTGATTGTAATATAGAATTGATGCCCCACTTTATATCCACTTTATAATTTCTTGTTTATTTATCAGATTCTAATTATGTACAAATCCTACCCTTCTCCCCCCAGCTATGGGTTAATTAGTAAGAATTGTATCACTAAACCATTGTTATCCCAAAAAAATCCTTACAATTTAAAAAATATTTTCTGACTTAAAATAACCTGCAAAGGTTTGATAAGCCATAGAAAATTGTTATATTCCGTGCTTATAGGAATATGGAATGGACAAACACGGTGGATAAATAGTAACAGGTTTATTGTAGAAAACAGTACAACAAACAAGGAAGTAATAGTTATGCGCACGGTCATCGCAAGTCAGTACAGTTGTGTTTGTGCTGCTAACAGAAGGCCGCTAGTTCTCGCAGATCCCAGCTCAACTCACCTGTCCGCTGTCCTAACGTATACTTATAGGTGGTTACCACCTATAGTGCCACCACTCATGGGGGTGGCAGGTTATTCCATTACATCAAAAATTAATCAATCAGTGAATGAAATACTGATTAGCTACACAGGCATATCTTTCTTTTATGAACATTTCATTGAATATGGCAGACAAGGTGCTTTGATTTTATTTTTTTTACAATTTCTCATGTGAACTAATAATTTTTTTCTTTTCAGATGATAAAATATATAAAAACTGCCTGAATGTTCTTTTTCTGAGCACTTTTTGCTATACATTTAGTTGAAATATATATATATACATATATATATATATATATACACACACACACACACACACACACACATATATATATATATTTATTTATTTATATATAAATATATATATATATATTGAACATGAACCTTCACCTAAAAAATACACACAAAACTCACAGTGTGTACTTGGACACCCTGGAAATGGGGTGAACAATAACTGAGCAGTATAAAAATAAGAACTAGATGTGATATCCTTGGGTAGTGGAACAAGAACAATCTACTTCCCCATGGATTAAATAAAGTGTTCAGTTCAACATTCCTCGTAGGTTACCTTGATCAACATAAAGTTGATGAAAACTGGAGGGCACTATGTCCAAAATAACAATAACAAAGATTAAGATAATAATCCACTACGTCTAATAACAATAACAAAGATTAAGATAATAGTCCACATAGAAATAATTCTCAGCATCTTTCTGCAGAACCACATCTCTGTTCCCTCACTTTTCCTCTTCATCTGTGAGGAAATTGTCCAGCATTCTCTGACATATCAGAGGATCAATATTATATAGCAGTTCAATAGAAGGAGAGAACTGCTTCAGATCTTATTTAATTAGACTTATTTGGGGCACAAAGTTTGTTTTTATGTGATCATTATCTGACCATTATAAGATTAGAAAGAATAGGAAAAATAAAAACAAAATAGAAGTTAGTTTATTGGTTTTAAATTCAAACTAATCTCAAATTACCCATTTGCCGCCATCTTAATTAGCTGAAGACAATCTAAAATATCTAGTTTCAAAAATTGAATAAAAAGAAGTTATTAAAAATAAATAGAAAACAGAAAGTTCTAAGAAAACAATAACTATAATGATAATAGTCATAATAATAATAATAATGTTTGAATTTTGACACACAGACCAACCGCCTTATCCAAGCAAAAAGAGTGAATCTGATAACTGTGAATCTTGTGTAAATTTGTATAAGGCTAAATTTTGACTGTGTGTCCCCACTTACATCAGCAGAACAAAACAAGTTGTATTGTTAACACGTAAATAATCAGTTAAGCATGGTCAGTACCTAGATGGGTAACCATTTAGGGATAGCAGGTGCTCTAAGCTTGGATGTGTGGGTGGTGTAATGGTTAATGGCTCAGAATTGTTTATCAGAAGGCCAATTGCCAATTCCTGTTATATCCTTGGGAAAAAGGTATGAATCCACCTATTCTCTCTCTAGCTATGGGTTAATTAGTAAGACTTTTATCTGGCTTCTATATATTTTACTGACAAACTATATTTACAATATAAGCAGTAACATTTAATTGGTGTAACAATTTTTAAAAAGCCTATTTTAAGGCTTACAGCTACATCACATTGAGACACTGGTTCCCTTAGGATTACCAAAGTTAAGCAAAATGAAGCCTGGTTATTAGCTAAATGGGTGACCATTTATAGTAACAGGTTCTTTAAACTTAGATGTGCAGGTGGTGTAATGAATAATGGCTCGGAATTGTTAATAGGAAAGTTTGCTTCCTGTCAGGTTCGTTATATTCACTTACATGTAAATACCCTTGGGAAAGGTATGAATCCACCATTTTTCCCTCAAGCTAAGTTTTTTTAAGCATATCTCCACAAGTAAGGTGAAAGTGCTTCTAGCATGCAGGGGATTACAGAGAGTGAGAGGAAGAGTGAGAGGAAGAGTGGAGAGGAGTGTTTGGAGAAAGGATGAAAAGAAGGACAGAAATCAAGATCAAGGCATCAGATGTTAATGGACATTACATTTGAATATTTGAAGATTATAGCTATCAGGGAAGCAAGTAAGAGGAAGGGAGTTCCACTGATGGGAAGTGCAAGATAAGAAGCTGTTGGAGTAGAAGAGATGGCTACATTTAGTTGTTTTGACAGTGAAAAGTTAGGACTGAGATGCCAACCTAGTAGCATGCTTAAATTCATACAGCTTGGGAACCGGTGAAAGTAGCTCATAAGAGCAGTTGCCATGAAAATACTTGTAGAAAAGACAGAGGGAAGCCACAGCACATCTGTGAGAAAGTAACTGTAGATGAGATGCTAGATCAAGACCAATCACATTGCATATCTGTCTTGGATTTTGTTGAGGACCTCAAGATGAACAGAATTAATAAGACTTGTATCACTAAATTATTATTATCTCCCCTTTAAAAATTCTTACAATCTAAAAATATCTTCTGGCTTTAAATAACCTGAAAAGGGTTGATAAGCCATAGAAAATAAATAAATCAATTTAAGCATTATGAAGAACTAAGAAAGAAGCCAGTTTTTTTGGTTATTATATCACTTTTGTAATGATTATTAATATGGCTTGGGGTAAAAACTAACATTAACTGGAAAGATTATATTGAATCAATTGCTAAGTCTACTGCCAGGAATGTTGGCTCACTGTGTTGTGCTAAAGAGTTTTTTCTCACCAGAATATATCTTTTTTTTTTTATCCCATCACCCATAGGGTCGTAGGGGCACATGTACTGCAGCCACAGTAGAAGTGGTGTTTCTTGGGCAAGATAGCCTGACATAGCACAACATATTCCAGGCTGGTTTTAAATTCAGAGTTTTTTCTTCTAGACCAGTTGTCACCCATGGCTATAGAAACCAGTCTGTCCTGCTATTTATCCATAGCTTGTGGGGTGGGGGGAGAAGAAGAGGATTCATATCTTCCTCAGGGGTATTAGCATGTAAGTGAATGTAATGGATCTGACTGGAAATTGAACTCAGCTCTCTGATTCCCCAACCTATGCTGCTATCCATTACTCTACTGTGCATTCCTATCTTCCACCTTTATAAATCTTCCATCCATTCATTGAATATTGCTGCCACATCTGGTCTGATGCTTCTGCTATGTTTTTAGAGATTCTTGATAATACAAAGAAAAATCTGCAATGTTATTGGTCCTGATCTAGCATCTCAGTTTCAGTCACTTTCTCAATGGTATTTGCACATAAGTGAATATAACGAACCCAACTGCAACTGGAACCCGGCTCTCTGATTAACAATTTCGAGCCTTTATCCATTATACCACCTGCACATCTAAGCTTATAGCACCTAGTATTCCTAAGCACTCACCCATCTAGGTACTAACCAGGCTCGGCATTGCTTAACTTCAGTGATCATATGGAAACTTGTTTCAATGGGATATGGACAGGTTCTTAATCAGATTTTTGCCCAAAAGATTCTCAAAAATTCATAAATTGGATAAAAAAGCCCTATAAACATATTCAAGGGTTTAATATCTTTAAAAAAATAATAACCACTATATACTGAAGATGGCTCCAGAAAACTTGTTTGTACCTTCAACCTTTACTAAAAACTGTAGCGAATTATTTAAACTAGGGAAAATTCATTATTATTATTATTATTATTATTATTATTAACATTATTATTATTATTAATATTATTATTATTATTATTATTATTATTATTAATATTATTAATATTTTTTATTAATATTATTATTATCATCATTATTATTATTAATGCAAACTTTAAAAATTATTTAGTTAAGTAAAATAATATTACTTGCTGAATTATTTTGAATTATTATTAATAAGAATGTTTATAGGAAGCATATTCAGCTTCTTCTATGTGCCATGCCACTTCAGAACATGAGTAGTCATGACTCTCCACAACTTCCTGCCTTTTGTAACTTTAGTAAGATTTCTGCTCAATCCCTGTTCTGCCAGCCATTTACTTACAAGATTGTTAATTTAGTTAATTGCTGATTTCTTCTGCTTCTCTTGCCTTCAATATGCCCTGTGAGTGTCAAATTCTCCAAGTGCTCCTTCTTCATTATGCACCCTAGAAATTTATATCTGTCTTGTCAAAATTCAGTTTTAAGTTTGTAAATCCATAGCAATCATAATAAGCATTGTTATTGTCTGCTTTTTCACATTACTAAAAATTAGTTGAATGCATCCTCACATCAAAATTATGGAATTATCTAAATAAGTCAAAATAATCTGTTTAATTAGATCTTGTTTAAAGAGTACCAAGCAAGTGATAAAATAATAAGTTTACTGAATTAATGCAAACAGAAAATTATTCAAATAAATAAGATAATATTGTTTGCTGAATTATTTTGAAATATTATTAATGAGAATATTTGTAGGATGAATACTCAGCTAGTATGGAAAAAAAAGAACCTTCCAGATTGTGGGCATGATTGTGTCAGCAAACCACAGTGGGAAAATAGAGAGTGAGAAATTGGAAAAATACCAAGACCTTTCCTGGGTACTGAGAAAAATATGGACCATGACAAAATCATGCCCATAAAGTAGTTGTCATTGAGTTGGTGCCAAAAATACTGGAATCAAGATTGGATGGATTGGAAATCTGAAGTAAGGTTAGGACTGTACAGAACATGGTATGACTGAGACTAACAAGGATACTGAGGAAGTTGCTGAAGGCCTGAGGGATCCTGTCGTCACTCAGACCTCATGATTAATGACTACCAGACATTTGGAATGAACATATAAATAAATAGTAAAAAGCAATTAATTTTCATCAGTACTGAGCAGATCTGAAATTTGCTTCAATCATGATGAACAGATACACGCTCAATGAGCCTCCATACTTTGAATGTTTACTGGGACTCAGGCTGGGCCAGATTTTGGCCTTAACCCTTTGCCTGTCCAAGGCATTTTTGTTTGTACTAACCAACCATTTATGCTTGTTTTCAGATTTATAACTGTTGTAAGTTAACTCAACTTATTTGGGAAATAGAATGTGCTAATATATATAGTGTTTCACATAATAAAAACCTGTGCATTGCATGCAATGCACAGAAAGTACAAATCATAAGTTATTTACACTACACTCTGTGTATCACATATGATGCAAAAGTTATAATCATTTCAATAAAGTGAAAAAATAGATGTCTTTGAAAAATTACATTATCAGCCAAGTGTCCTGTGGTCATATATGATGCACAAAATATTAAATTAGACCTTTCCTCAGATGTCTTGCTCAATAGGAGACTTTTTTCTTAAGCGTCCTTTCTTTTTCCACTTTATTGCAATGATTTTAACCTTTGCATCACATGTGATGCATAGGTTTTTATTATGTGAAACACTATATATAAGCACATTTTATTTGCCAAAACAGCTGAGTTGCCATGCAGTATTTATACACACATGAAAACAGGCAAGTGTCCTGTAGCCATAGATGATACACAAAATATTAGATTAGACCTTTCCTCAGATATCCTGCTCAATAGGAGACTCTTTTCTTAAGCGTCCTTAGTTTTACCACTCTTTTAAAATCATGGCTCATGTGCATCACATATGATTCACAGGACAAGTAACAGGTTAAGGGGCTCTGGGGTTAATAGAATTTGGGGCCCCCACTTCATTACATATGTCTCCCCCTATGTCTAAAGAAAAAGATATATTTTTAGATGATGATTTTGTAGAACATGAAACATTTCAATTAAAATTTTTAATGCTTTTGGAACTCATCCAATTTATTTCACTAGCAACTTTGTGATATTTTTTATTCGAATTTTACATCCTACAGAAATATATATAGAATGAAAGGCTTGTATATTACACTGAAATTCTAGGAACAAAGCCTCCTAAAAAACATAATCATGATGGAGAAGGAATATTCTGAATTCCTACATCCTTGCTACATCAATATATATATATATATATATATATATATATATATAAAAGATGCATCAAAATCTAGATGGAGGCCCTTTTAAGATTCCCCATGGAATTTGAAAGACCAACTTCAGCTAGAGTGTCCCAAATACTCTAAATTGTTACAATGTAGTTCAAAGGAACCCCATTAAATCTGAAAATAAACAAATCTTCTCTGTTCTTATATCTTTTTTTTCTTTTTAGTTTTATCCAGGGCCCTAAACTAGAGGACCTTTTGGGGCACCTGGGTTGCAACCCATACTAGCTCATATGTAAATCCAGTACTGGATTAAAGTTTACCTCAGCCCTCAACTGGAACTCATATATACAATCCGCCTCTAAAGAGGCTGGAAAAATGGTCAGTTCCTTAGTTCCTTGTACTGTTCCAGAAAGTACTTCACTCCTTTTGGCATGCTCTCTATCTTTACAAGAGCCAGATCAGAACAAAAATAGAGTATTGCTGCCATATATAGACTTAAGCTGCCCAATTCTCATTTTCCAGCCTTGATAGATTTCCAATGCATTTGGTCCTGTGAGTTATGAAGTATTTTTCCTTCTACAGCCCCATCCCCACCCCCACAGATGAAGCATCACAAACGTATCACTAATTCCATGTTCAGACAAGCTTCATTCTTTGATGTCACAAGCTCAGACTTTTACAGCCAAGACTCACTTTACTATATTTACTATTGTTCCAGAAGGATGTTCCACTCAGAATGGATGTTCCACTCAGAGGATATTTCATGCAGAATGGTTGCTCTGCTCAGAAGAATGTTCCACTCATAAGGATGTTCCACTCATAAGGATGTTCCACTCAGAATGGATGTTCCAGAAAGATGTCCCACTCAGAATGATGTTCCACTCAGAAGGATATTTCATGCAAAATAGTTGCTCTACTCAGAAGAATGTTCCACTCATAAGGATGTTCCAGAAGGATGTTCCACTCATAAGGATGTTCCACTCAGAAGAATGTTCCACTCAGAATGGATGTTCCAGAAGGATGTTCCAGGAGGATGTTCCACTCAGAAGGATGTTCTACTTAGAAGGGATGTTCTGTTCAGAATGGATGTTCCACTCAGAAGGATGTTCTACTCGGAAATTTTTACCAAAGAATAATTACTTTGCAGAACAGACTCCCACATGGACACTTCTCCAAACATTGCAATATTAACCACTTCAAGTCTAGGGTCAATTGTTATCTATCCACCATATCTTTATAATCTTAACTTCCTAATTCTTCCATTTATGTTCCTATCCTGCACCTCATTCAGTAACTTTGAATGGCTCTTAGGCTTTGTATTAGAGGAATATTTAGTAAAAAAAACAAAATAGTATAAGCTTTTTATAGATTGTTTGTATCTCGTTAAGGAGAAAGTGACAAATCATATGTGATTTCTATTCTTGGAAATATCTCAGCAAAATAGATACTGACATTTTGAGATCACTCTCTCTAGATGGAATTCTGAACTATAGGGATTTAAGTTCTTTTTTCTACTAATAAATCAAAATTATAAGTATATTAACAGGTGTCAGTGCTTGGGAAGTTGTTTAGTCATTTCAGTAATTAAATTCCTTCACAGCTTTTGATTATTGATAAAATAATACAAGGTCTGTTCAGAAAGAATTAAGTTTTCAACTAGAGTCCTCTTGCTTCAGAATTAAGCTATATTGAATATCACAAGAATATATATGATCTGTCCCTAAACTCTTGAAGCTCTATTGGTATTTCCATGGAAAATGTCCAGACGAGCTACATTCATTAGTTCCACCAGTTCAGACTTTTAAAGCTAGGACACACCATGTCATGTACATGGGGTCATTCCCTTCATATTTTATGGATATGTCTTCAGCAAATGTTTCCTAATTCATGATGATCTTAACTTCAAGTCTAAGGTCAACTATTATCTATCCTACATATTCTCAAACTATGCACATCTTACTTCCTTCTCTTATATCCCTTACAACAACCTCATTCAGTAAATATCTACCTTGAATGGCTCTTGGGCCTTGTATTAAGTGAAAAAATTATATAAAAAAGGGGGTTTACAACCTTGATTCAAGTTTTCATCTAGAGTCCTCTTGCTTTTCAGCTATAATCTACCCACAGAAGGCATGACAGGGATAAAACACATTTCTGTGGCATATTGAATGATTAATTATTTTTTACCCTTCAACCTCTTTCCCACAGACAGAATATTGCAAGCCTCTTGCTACTCTATTGCTATGTTCATTGGAAAATATTCAGACAATCTATATTCCTTAGTTCCACCAGTTCAGACCTTTAAAGCTAGAACCTGCCATGCTACATACACCCTCATTACCTTCCTATTCCATTGGTAAAGGGGAAGTTCCATTCACAAATTCTTCCTGAGAACCACTACTTTCTGGAACAAGCTCCCGAGAGGATGCTCCCTAATCACTAAAATCTGAACCTCTTCAAATCTATAGTCAACTGTAATCTATTCTACATGGAATGAGTACTCAGCAAACCAAGT